TACTGATATGTTCTCAGAATTGCGAGTTTATATCTCGCAGTTCTGACTTTATATCATAGATTCAGAAATTTGTACATTTGTAAACTGAACACTTGTAAATAACATATCTGAACATTAATTTAAACATTTACAATTTTTCCTTCTATACTTCTACTTCTGTATAGTGCATTATTGAATTTTCTGCTTTTCTTATATTAGTGTTATATTCCATTTCTACTGTGTTATTCCTATTTGTGTCTGTACTATCATGCATGTTTGCACTATGTCCGTACTTTCTTCTGCACTGGAAGCTCCTGTCGTCAAGTCAAATTCTTTGTGTGTGTAAACATAATAAAGCTCTTTCTGATTCGGATTCTGAATCAGAAAGGTTTCTTAAGTAGCAAATTAGCATGTTAGTATGATTTCTGAAGATCATGTGACACTGAAGAAATTATTTAGCTCTGATCACAGCAATAATTTACATTTTTATTACATAATTATTCACAATATTACGGTTTACTCTATTTCTGATCAAATAATTGCAGCCTTTGTGAGCAGAAGAGACTTCTTTCAAAAACATTTATAAAAATCGTATGCACTTCAGATACTTAATGGTCATTTAAGTCACGCATTAACCCAAAAATGTCTTTAGTCTTTCCAAACATGCTTGATTTACTTTCTTCCATGAAACACAAAAAGAAACATTTCACAGAATGTCAAAGCTTGTTTTCAAGCTCCAAAATGGGCAAAAAGCACCACAAGTATATCAAAAGGATCCTAAAAGTTGTCCATATGACTTGTCGCTATATTCAAAGTCTTCTGAAATCAGTACAGCTTTATGTGAGGAATTAAACCCAACTTTAAGTTCAAGTTGGGATTTGAAAACGAATGCAGAGGGCAGATTTATGAGTGAGTAATGATTTCATTTTGTTTTTGTTTTTTGTCACTTAAAAATTGTTTAAAAAGTTTAGAATGCTGCACATAAGTCATATGGACTGCAGTGCTTTTGTAATACTATTTTGTCTATTTTGCTGTAGTATTGTTGTAGTATTTTGTTCACTTTGATTTTATGGAAAAGAGCAGCTCTGATATTCTGCAGAAAATCTCAGTGTCTCACAGAATAAAAACAAAATCATACAGGTCTGGAATGACACTTTTCCGCTTCACTTCCTGTTAGACAAGGTTATGTTTCTACTGTCACACTCTGTGATCTTCTCTAGGCTGCGTTCCACTTCACTTTTAGACATGCACTCGTGAACTTCCCCAAGCACTTCCCCTCGGGGGAATCCCTGCTGCCATTTTGAAGTGCGTTCCACTTCATGAAGTGGAAGAGGGAAGTTTATATGGACAGACCCTCAACCCCTGGATTTAGTCCATAGTCAACCCCTGTAGTCCATAGACCACAATCCAACACGACTACATCGCAGTTCGCAGATCGCATTTAATTTATCCCCACCCCAAACAACTTATATATAAGCCCAAGCATATCTATATACATATAGAATGCTGCACCAAACAA